TGTTTCAAACTGAAAAGCTTATTCACAACAAAAAAACCCAATGAGGTATGGAATAGAAAAAAAAAACTATTAAAGTTCTGATAAGAATTTAATTATCACAATATATTAAAGAAGACTTACAATTCAATAAAATAACAAGGAAAAACAAAGATGCTAAAAGAATTTTGATTTCAAATTTCTAAAAAGAAGACATGAATGAACAGAAAAATAGCACGAGAAACCATGGCATTAATAATCAGAGAATCACAATGACATTTCATACCATACCTATTAGGATACATTTTACATAAATAGTATTAACAAGTATTAAGATTTGAATACTGTATCTATCCCCCAAAGTTATGCTCTGAACACTTGGGCCCCAAGTGTTTAAATTGTCACAGAACTTTTGGGACATGGGGCCTACCTGGTAAGCATGGGCCGATAATTGTGAGCCTTTGAAGGTATTACTCTTATGTGATTTTTGGCTTTCATTCTGCTTCCTGGTTGGCTTCCCCTGTTGAATAGCTGCCATATGCTCTGGCAGACAATCCAAGCCCCTCCCATAGCCATGCCATACTTGCAATGATAGACTGATGTCTAAAACTGTGAGCTAAAATAAATCATCCTCAATTAAGATGTATCTGTCAGTTATTTTGGTAACAATGATCACAAGTTACTAAAATAGGAAGAATATGGGATAATTAGAAACCCTTCTACATTGAGTAGGTATGTAAAATTGTGCTGCCACTCTGGGACATTGATGTGACTCTTTCTCATCATTTTAAACATAAACTCATAATTCTTCTCTTCCTTGCCTTCCCCAGATTATACATTTTAGCCCTCCTCAAATCCAGGAGACCACGTGTGATTAGGGCCAAAATACATATAGTTTCCTGGGAAGAATGTCTGCATACTCTGGTGAGGGTCCAATGATGCTGCTGGCCCCTCCTTTAGTGATGGAGCACAACTGACAAGCCCAACTGTGACGATGTTTAGCAAGCAGGCACAGCTGAAGTCAAGATGATGGCATTTCACGCAAAAGAGACTGCTGTACAACATCATCTTATTAAAAGCACATGGAACTTAAAAGGATTTGGTGCTAGGATCCACAAGTGAGGGAAAACATACATCTTTTGTTTTTCCATGTCTGTGTTACTTCACTTAGAATAATAGTTTCTAGATCCATACATTTACCTGTGAATATCATTATTTCTTCTTTCTTTACTGCTGAATAGAACTCCATTGTGTAAATATACCACCTTTTCGTAAACGACTCGTCAGTGGAAGGGCACTTAGGTTGCTCCCATATCTTATTTATTGTGAAAAGAGCAGCAACAAACATGGTTGTACAAGTGTTTATACAATAGGATGAGTCCTTTGAGTATATGCTAGGAGTGTTATGGCCTAGTCATATGGTAGGTTCATTTTTAATTCTTTAAGAGTTCTCCACACTGTTTTCCATAGGGGTTGCATGAGTTTGCAATACCAACATCAGTGAATGAACATACCCCTTTCTCCACATCCTCACCAGCATTTGGTATAATTTGTTCTCTTGATCCATGATGGGTAAAGGCTTTCCAGTGTGCATACCCTAAGGTCACTCATACACCTCAGCACCCCCTTAGTCATCTCTGTAAGTAAGTTCAGTAAGTTCATTGGTTTTCCAGGAAAACTTGAATTAAACATTGGTTTGACACTAGAACTTTAAAAGGGGATAAGCATTGCTTAGTATCCCCAGGAAAAGAATTCTCACAACAGATGGGACATTTATCTGTTAATGTTATCATAATAAATGTATCATAAATGTCTCATAATCATTAGAAAAGAAAATGGGAATGCAAAAAATTGTAAAGGGGTATGGGAATGGAGATATTTTCCAAAATAGACAGAAAAAAAGAGAAAGCATAAGCAAGTGAGGAAGGTCTGTGTAGGTTTGTATATAAAGGTTGAGACAAAAATAATATACAAATAATGTTAAAATTTCTAAGATCATAGTTTAGTCAACTAGTTTAAGGAACAAAACACATGTCTAGTCAAGTTTTATCTGAGAACATTTTGTTTTTGCTCAAGCTGAATCTACGAAGTACATGATAATTAAAAGTACCAGACTGGATGAACTGACCTTCTTAGATATTTAACAGTCATACTTTGAGGCCTATACTAATTTGCTCAGAGGGACTTAAAGGACAGTTTTTTGCTCCTTTCCCTCCAAGACCAACTAAGTTCCAAGAGACTATGGAGAATCTCTCAAAATGTCCTGCAACTGTGGTGAGTCACCTTTTTGTTCAGGGAAGCCATGGAGACCCCACCAGATGGACTTGAACCAGTGTCCAGTCTACAAAGAGAAGGGTCAACTGAGAGGAAACATTTCTTCCCTGCTTCCAAGTGAAGCCAGCCATTTTGAGCAGGACCTTTGACTTATCTTCACATAGATGGAAAAGGTGAAAGAAAGGGGATCCTACCAAACCCATGTGACTCCTGAGGAACAGATCCCCTAATGACCTTGAGAGTACAAATAAATTGGTTTATTTGGACCAACTTAATGGTCTTAAACACTCAAAAGGAAAGCAAAACCAAAGATTAAAGTGATCGATATATTTCTTTAAGAATTCAAGGGATTACACTTCCCAGAAATTAGGCTTAAATCAATATAAAATGCTATTTAGACAATTTTCTCATTAATGATTTTGTTTCTAGGCAGAAAGTGCTGCTCAGATGTAAGACTTCAAATGTTGGTCTGTAACATGGTAGTGCCCACCTATAGCTAACGGAGACAACCCACTATTGTTCTAAAATGATGGCTAAATTTGTTTTCTCCCACTATCTAGAAGCCTTTGAAAGGGAACTATCAAAGTGACTGAAAACAAATCCTGAGTCCATCACTCTCGAATCCAGTCTTAGCAGACAAAACTAAAAGGAGGAGGAATCCAAAAGAGGGATGCTTTTGGAAGCTCTCCTCAAGAAATTCCAATGGACTCTGACAGAAACACTTGAAATTCGCCCTGTTCTGACTTTTTTCTGGTTTCCTGTAGAGAGCTTGTAATGCTAACCACTCTTGCCTTTACTTCTTCTTCACATCTCCTATTTACCAGGCACAGACTCTCTTTTCACTCCACAGATAAAGAGTTGCACAATTTTGCAGTCTTTTAGATAGACCCACTGAAGGGGTATACCAATTACATCACCCTGCATCCCTGTTCAGCTTGGAAGAAGCCAGAGCATTCTGCGTTCCAATTCCCTATCTGAAATTTGGGTAACCTCCTCAGAGGATGGTGTGATAAGAATAGGATATAGGAATTGGCTAGGCAGTTAGGGTAAAAAGACCACAAAGAAAAGTAGCCAGTTTCTTGGCTAAGAGACTAAATGTCTTTGGGACTCTTAACAACATACTCTGTTCCAAAGGCCAAAAATGACAATAGTATTTGGGAGCTTTTATCTAATCGTTAAAAGATTTTAGGGTTACCTCTTCAGAGGGGGGAATGTTAGAGTAGCAAAGATCCCCATAAAAATAAATAAAATAGAAAAAGAACAAGCACATGAAGTTGTCAGAAAAAAGTGATGGGGAGATATGGGAGGAGTTGGAGTGAAGGGAGTGGGCATGGATTTGAACCAAACACCCTATATGCATGTATAAAATTCTCAATAAAATTTTTAATGCTAAAAAATTCTTGTAATTCTTTATCTGGGTAAAGATTCAAAAGTATTAAAAGCAGGTAAACAAGATGATATTTGTACACTATTATTCACAGGTGCATTATTCAAAATGTTCAAGATAAAGAAAACAAGAGAAATGTGCATCAAGGGAAGAATAAATAAATAAAATTCAATACACATTTGTTGGACTCTCATTCAGCCTTTTTAAAATGTAAAGAAATTCAGTCACAAGCTACTATATGTGTGAATCTGCTAGACAAGACACTAAGTAAAATAAACCAGACACAGAATATAATCATTTCATGGCTTCACCTATTTGTGGCATTTAAAGTATTCAAACTCATAGAATCACATTTAGGAGAAAAGTTCTCATACTCTTTTCATATGATAAAACATAATAATGAAATTTGCTTTAAAATATTTTAATAAATCCAGCATATTAGTAAAATAATGAGAAAAATCACAGCATCATCACAGTTGAATAAAAAGAAAGAGATATGTTCAATAAACTTTCTTTACATGAATAAAAATGAATTATATACAGAAATAAACATCTTCAACCTATTGAATGGCACTGACGAAACATTCCCTGACACTATATTTAAGGCTGTATATTGAAAGCTTTATTCAGAGAATCAGGAATAAAACAAATATGTCAGCTGTTCAATTTCTATTCACTACTAAAGTAGATGTCCTAGTCAGAGAATAAAAAAAAAAAAACAATAGCAGTAGATAAATAATATAGTCTATTAGAAGATACAATGATACATAAAAGTCATAAAGAAGATACAGAATAATCTAGAGAAGATCATCAGAGATTTATATTCTAGATGGAAGAAATAAACATGATCACTAAAGAAAAATAATTTGTATTTCTAAACAATAAGAATGAACAGCGTGAAAATAAAACTAAAAAATACTTCCATTTACAGCTTAACTTAAATCATTAAAATAATTAAGAATTAACTCAATGATGCATAAAATATATACTATGAAATTTATAAAACACCATTTGGGGGAGTTAATGAGACCCTCAATTAAGAGAAAAATATCTTCCATTCATGAATCATAATATGTAGTAATTTAAGTCAAAGAAACCCACCAAATTTATCTACAAAACCAGCATAATCCTTATTGAAATTTTAATTGCCCTTTCAGCAGAAATCCATATTAAAACTGATTTTAGAATCCTTATAGAAATGTAAATAATAGTAATATCTAAATAAATCTTGATTTTTAAAATATACCCATACTTCCAAATTATAGAGATTTCTATACACAATATTTTAGACATTCTGATACTAGCATAAGAATAGATATATAGACCTTCAAATAGAATTCAGAGTCAAGAAATCAACCCTTACTTTGATGGTGAAGTATTTTTTTTGACAATGGTGCCAACTCAATCCAGTGGAGAAAAGTGTTCAACAAATGGTGCTGGGACAATTGGATATCTGTATGTAAAAGAATGAAATCAGTCGACTAGCCATCACCAAACATGAAAATTCAAAAAGGATTATAGTTCTAAAGTGCAAGAGCTAAAGTTACAAATTTTACAATTATAAAGGATTCTTTGATACTTCACTAAAAGTATATGTATTAAAACAAAAGTTAGATAATTTGATCTTTACATACTTAAAAACTTACACAAAGCAATACTGTGAAAAAATGGAAGAAAGTCACAAAATGGGATGAGGTATTTAAAAATTGTGTGTCTGTAATCTTTTATTCAGTATATATGACTTTTAACAGCTACAAAGAAAAAGACAAACATCCCAACTTGTAAATGAATAAAAATATAAAGATATTTCTTCAAAATATATATATAGATGGACACTAGGAAGATGATCAAGTTCATTATTTATCAGGGAATCCAAGTTAAAACTCCAAAAAGATAAGGTCACCACCATTAGTCTGCTACTAGGAAAAGGACAGACAGCAATAAGAGCTCAGGGGAATGGGGTAGAATTAGAACCTTCATAGATTTCTAACAGGAATGTAAAGTGCTGTAGCCACATTTGTAAACAATGTGGTAGAGTTTCAAAGTACCATTCATGTTTAGTTATTTTTGGACCCAGAAATTTCATTCCCACCTGTATGTACAAGATAAAATTTAAAAAATCAACACAAAATTTATACACAAATTTTCAGAACAGCATTATTTATAATAGCTAAAAAGTTTTAAATTACAAATTATGTGAAATTCCGGATATAGAAACAAATAGTGGCAAATCCATTTAATGGAATAACAATTCAGCCACAGTAAATTTCAAAGCAGCACAGTATTTATACAGAGGCGTGAACAGTGCTGGTTAGTTTTATCCAAATTTTCACTGAGACTGTGAAGCACAGAGCAGATTACAAATATTAAAAAGTACTACTTTAGTCAGGAAATTACTATATATACAACTGTGGACAAGGAAAGTGTGCAGATGATAAGAAGTTAGCCACATTAAAATGAAACCATTTATATTGTACCAGGGAAATAACAATGACTGATGACATCTCCTGAATCAGAAAGATATCATCTATCAAAGGGTCAAGTCTTTAAACTTATGTAACTTTTATTTGTGAATAAGGCTCCAGATCATTCTGCTTGCCCAGACCATCAAAGAACAGTGCCTCTAGAATTCCTTTCCCCACATTCTGCAGTCCAGGAACTCAGAAGCTATGACAGCCATGGTCTAAGGGAGCCCAGCTATTTCAATAGGCAATGGCAGATTATGGCATTGTCCACATGAGACTTGGCTTTGCGGGTATGCAGACTCTAAGAACTCTAGACTTATAGACACTTCTAAGATTTTTTTGAAGGAAAGACTGGGAGTCCAGGGAAAGTGGGTTAGCAATGCATTAAGCTCTGGGGATAAACCCTAAGCCTCAAGATAGATCTGAGATGCTAGGAGAAGAAGAATCTGTCAAAAATCTTCAGTGTATAAAGTCAGCATGAAAGAGAAGTGCACTACATTAAGACCATATACGGCTGAATATTCCAAAGCCTTTGCAGCTTACATCTTCCTATCATGTGCTCAGGAGGCAAACATAGAACTGCAGAAATTAAGAATTGTATTTTTGGGTCTTCATTCCACTTTGGACCAATTAATCATTGTTTTCTAATTTTTCCCATAGTCAAATGGGGACATTTTCCATTATATCTTAGAACTGTGAAACATTTTGTTTGTTCTTTACTGATAATCACAGATTTGGATTTTCCTTGAGGATGAGGTTTTGATTGTAGACTATGTACTAAAAATGACACAGTTAAGACTCTGGAAATTTTAGAGATGTATTAAAGGCATTTTGCTTGGGATATGATTATGAGCCTCTGAGAACACAATGTACAATTTTTGTTTTAGACGATCATGAAACTCATGTGTCAAAGACTTGTTCATTATTCCAAGCTGGTAGAACCTTTAAGGAGTAAAGCATTCTGAAAGGAGTGCTCTAAAAGAGAACATTATGATCCTGGTCCAATCTTCTCTCTGTTTACTCTTGCTGGAATTTTTGACATAAATGCTATACCATGTGTTCTCTGTCACAATGTTTCCGTTTTTCTATAGGTCTGACACAATGTAAGAAAGTGATATGGACTGAATTTTCTTTGACATAATCAGAATACTATGTTCTGCATTCTGCATTGTACAGCTAATATATTTTGTCATGTCATTACAAAGTGACTAGCACACTAAAATTCAGTAACACAATATGGAAACAAAATATAACATTTAATGTATTAAATATTTGCATCAATTAAAATAAAATGGTAGGATCAATGATCTAATGTCCTAACATATGGAAGAAAAAAGGGAGTAATGTAAAACTAATTTCAAATGGAAAGAAGAAATAAAGATAGATATAAACAAATGATACTGTACTCAGGAAAAATAAATCTTGAAAAGAGATTGATTTGAAAAATATCAGTAAAATTTAAATTCATTTGTCTATAATGAGCATAAAAGACAACACTCAAATGCACAACCAATAGTCAAACAGTAGACACTACTAAAGCTCTTGCAGACACCAAGAGCACAATATGAACATTAGAAAAACTGATGAAAATGTAAATTCAGCAAGTTTGATGAAATAGAGAAATTCTTCAAAAGGTACAATCTATCAAAATTGCAAAACATGAAAAAGAAGTCTGAACACTCCTAGGATGAATAAAGAAATTGTGTCTAATCTTTGAAAAATCACCACCATAAAATATCTATGTATAAATTGTTTCAATGAATAATTCTATCAAGGACACTATAAAGAATTAACAATTATGTTATATGCTACTGATAACAGAAAATGGAACTCAAAGTTTCATTTTTGAAATGTATATCTGTGATACTAAATGAAAACTAATATTAAAGGAGAGCTCTGCAAGCCAACGTCCCTCTTGTTCATAAATATAAAAGTCCAAACAAAATATTAGCACACCATATACAATGAAGAGCAAGTAACATTTCTTTCTCTGTGCCTTGATTGCCTCACTCAGTATTATTTTTCCAATATCATCCATTTATCTGAAAATTTCATTTTTCTTTAAGATAAAATAAATTTCATTGTGTATACACACCACATTTTCAGTATCCATCTCTTGATGCATATCTAGGCTGATGCCATTTCCTTGCTAATGTGACTTCAGGAGCAATAAACGTGGATGAGTCAGTATCTCAGTAATAAGACAAAGTCCATTGGGTATCCAGGTGGGTAATAGCACGTCATATGGTAGTTCTATTTCTAACTTTTTTGTTTTTTTTATTTTTAATTGAGCTTTTGTACATTTTATACAACAGATCTTAATCAAATTTAGACCCCCTCATCCATGCCTCCACACAGTGTTTCTAGCTTTCATAAATCTCCACAGTGATTTCCAAGTGGCTATACATAGTTACACAGGTAGATTTAACTTCAAAAAGGCCTGGGAGGTAAATGACTTAAGAAAGGGGGGATAGTAGGACATAGGTAATATGAAAATAGAGAGAGGGAACACTGTGAGCAAAAATATTTACGTAGGGAATAGTTCAGGCATAGGCGAAATCAGGGAGTCGGGAAGTATTAACCAAAACTAAAAGGTTAAGAAAAAAGTCATAGAGAAACCTACCTACTATCCTGTATCCAAACCAAAAGAGTAACTTAAGATATACTGCATAGATGGACGAGGTTCTTCTTAGTTATTATTGGTTATTAAACAAAAATCTTAATGCTAGATGTTAGATACCTCTTTCTGATTTACTGATCAGCATGGTCTTAGAAGCTGTCGAATCAATACATGACTTTCCCATTCCTCTTGGTTGCCCATTTGAACTAGATGATAAGATCCTAGTACTGAAGACACCTCACACTTTTGTTGCATGATATTGAGAAATCAAGCTGGAGCTGAGCTGGAAGCTTCCTCCATGCTGCCTAGCTTTCATCGAGCTGGAAAGTGACATGCAAGCTGCTGGTTGAGTAAAAGTATCAGTGGCTTTACCCAGTTGTGAACCGTATGAATTCTGATACCAATTTTCCAGTCAAGATGCACCCACCTATTCAACAGTGTCATGACAGTTATGGGGATTACCAACTGTTTTCTGATTGGCTGTGAGGCTTACTCGAGGGAAGGGAATCCACAGCTGGTACTGTAAGCTTGCCAGAAAGTCTCTGGTCAGGGAGGTGATAGTCCTTACAGTGAAGGACAGGACTTAGTTCTGTTGTTTAGCTAAAGTGACAAAGCATAGAGTGACTTTCTAAATACATGTGTTTACCTGCAGACAACCATCACTCTCAGCTTTAATCAGATAAGCCTCTTTTTACAGTGAAAAGCAGCGACTGCAGTGACTCTGCTGCCCAAGGTGATAAGAATAAGCGATAGTTGAGTGTTCAGCCCTAAAGATATTTACACCATTCACTTCAATGCTTGGAAAACATTGGAGAAGCGGGGGGGGGGGGGGGGGCGCTAAAGAATGTAAAACTTTGAAAATGCGGAGAAAGGACTCAAAATGCCATCTTGTGGGCAAGACACAGATATTGTAATTACAAATTCATAGCAGCTGCAGAGTGTAAACAAGAATGGGGTCTTCATCAGTCATTTGTAGATGGAGAAGTGACACAGTGGGTCCTGCCCCTCACTCCTGACCTATTTGCTACTGATGGACTCAGGGAGAGTGGCAGTCATTGGGTTCAGTTTTTAACCTACTGATGATGCCACCAGGTTTCAGTAGATCATTCTAAGACAATAATTACACACAGGGTCCTGGTTAAATTTAAACTGATCATAAAATAAAGCAGAAATTATGAATCTGAGAAAAGGACAGACAGGGAGGAGAGAAATTTGATGGAAGTGGGAGAAGTATGAAAGGCATCATGGGGAGGAAGTATCCAGAACGCAATATTTGTATATATAAAAATTTCAAAGAACTAATCTAATACAAATATTAAAATATCAAATATAATAATGTACAAAAATAAATATGTAAAATGGAAATTT